CACACTAACACTCACACTAGTTTTGTTTTCATTCAATCCCCCAGCCTCCTTACCTTTGGAGTGCTGGGGATTGAGTCAGTGGTGCTGCTGGGCTCCTGGGTGGCCGGCCGGTCGGGCAGGAAGGCGGGCGCGCAAGGGAGCACTCAGTGCTTCCTCTTCAGCTCCCTCGCGCGCCGCGTAGGGATGCCGGCGCCGGAAGATGACGTCATCTTCCGGCTCCGGTATCAGTGCGGTGCGCGAGGGAGCTGAAGAGGAAGCACTGAGTTCTCCCTTGCGCGCCCGCCTGCCCGACCTGCCACCCGCCTGCCTGGGGGGGCCCTGGGGTGGTCGGCTCCTGGGCCCCCCAGGGGAAGAGGCTGGCCCTGTGGGTACATGCAGGGGCGGCCGGGCCCCCTGGTGGGCCGGGCCCGGTCGCAGCCGCGACCCCTGCGACCCTGGTATGTACGCCACTGTGTCAGTGTTTATGAATCTGACACACAGATACACAGATACACACACTGACACAGATACACACCTTGACACACAGTGTGTATCTGTGTGTGTGTGTGTATGTATGTATCTGTTTGTCAAGGTGCGTGTATCTATGTTTCAAAGTGTGTGTATCTGTGTTTGTATGTGTCTGTGTATCAAGGTGTGTGTATCTGTGTTTGTATTTGCCAGTGTGTATGAATCTGACACACACTGGCAGATAGTGGCACACAGATACACACACCTTGACACACAGTGTGTGTGTGTGTGTGTGTGTGTGTGTGTGTGTATGTATGTATCTGTGTGTCAAGGTGTGTGTATCTGTGTTTGTATGTGACGGTGTGTATATCTATTTTTTTTTTTTCTTTATTGTCAAAAATTTTCATATAAACAGAGCTGTACATTGAGTTAACATAGAGTACATAACATAATGAGCAGAACATGGTGTCATGTTGTGGAGCCAAGATAGTGTGAGGAATGTCGTCGGAAGAATTCTTCCGGGTCGCAAGGTATGATGTCCACATTCCATTATGCACTTATGGGTCAGTTCTGAGCAGTAAACAATATTCATCAGTAAATATTCAAGCATTCAACATTGTGCATTAACTTCACTCTGGCTGGTCTTGTCTAACTTATTTGTGTCAGGTAGGTTATAGAGATCTTAGAATCTTATAAATTGAGTTAATTTTGATTTTGGCGGGGTCGTACGGGTTGTGGTGGGGTTGGTAAGTGTAAGTTCCAGTCTGGGTGCTGTGGGTGCGCAGACCAGGTGTTGCTGGTTGATTTGCCATAGTAGATGTGGTTCAACCTCTCAATTTATACTTTTGTGAAACCACTAAGTCCCACTAAATTGTGTCCAGCCAGAGTTGTCAAACTATAAAGGGAGTGGGGGGGGGGAGCTCCCTTTCCCTCAGTATTGGGGTCCTCCAGACTTGCAGAGTGGACAGACATTCTATCAGATAGTCGCTTAGGGGATGAGGTAGTGAGCGTGAGCGGTGCGGTCCTTAAATACTTTACATACTTTACGTGGGAGGAGTGCAATTGGGGGGTGGGGGAGGGGGGGTGTATAGACCTTTTAAGTAAGTTGGTTGGGAGTTGGTGTTCTGGAGGTCTCATCAGTTTTTAGGAAGTGTAGCCACGGGCTCCAGGTGCGTTCATAGGTGTTGTAGGAGTGTGACCTCGAGTAGTGTATTTCTTCTAAAAGGCGTATGGAGTCAACCTTATTGATCCATGTCCGGATGGTGGGCGCTTCTGGTTTTTTCCAGTGGCTAGGGATGAGGGCGTTTGCCGCTGTGAGAAGGTGGTTGGTTAGGGGTTTTGTGTTCTTGGGAAGTGATGGAGGGAGGAGGAGGAAGAGTACAATTTCTGGGGATTGGGGCAGTTGTACGTTGGTGATGGTGTGAATCATCTTAATGATTTTGGACCAGTAAGTGCAGATGACTGGACACGTCCACCATATGTGGCTTGGGGTTCCCTGAGGGTGTTGGCATCTCCAGCACTGCGCGGAGGCATTCGGGAAGATTGCGTGTATTTTGGAAGGAGTAAGGTGCCACCTGGATAGTCGTTTAAAGTTCCCTTCCTGTGTGTGCGTGCTCATGCTTGTTTTGTGTACATTGGAAAACACGTGTTTCCAGTCTGATTGCGTTAGGGAGAGATTGAGTTCGGATTCCCAGGCTTTTGTATATTTGGGCAGGACGGGCGATATTTCCGTTTGCATTAGTTTGTATAGGAATGAGAGGTGCTTTGTTTTGATATCGCTGGAGACACAGTGTTGTTCAAATGAGGTAAGTTGCCGGTGTCCCTGGAGGATATTGGGGGTGGTTGATAGGAAGTGGGTGAGCTGAGAGTGACGGAATTTTTGTAGGGTCGTAGGTTGCGTATCTTCCCAGATCGCGCTAGGGGGTCTAATTCCTTGGTCGTCAAGTAGGGTGCGCAATTGCAGGTAGTGGGTGTGTGGGAACGCAGCAAAGGAGGAAGGGGAGAGGCCCGGCGTGAAGTCCGGGTTGTAAGTCAGTGGGTAGAGTGGAGATGGGTGGGGGGATATGCCTAGTTTATTTCTTATTTGTGACCACACTTTAAGGGTGGGTATGATTGTGGGGTGTTTTGTGTGGGCTTGCAAGAGGGAGGTTGTCCCTGTTCGTTGCCACGGGATAGTCAGGAGGGGATGTTGAAAGGCAGATTTTTCAAGGAGCACCCAATGTTTGGGGTTGTTGGGGATGGTCCATTCGTAGACTCTGTGTAACATAGTAGCCTTGTAGTATAGTTCTACGTCTGGGAGGCCTAGGCCGCCGTGGAGTTTGTGGCTTGTAAGAGTGTTGTATGTGAGCCTAGGGGGAGAATGCGACCATATAAAGCGGGTGAAGGTCCTCTTAATGTCGGTGAAAAAGGATGTTGGTAGTGTAATGGGGAGGGTTTGGAGAAGATATAAAAGTTTGGGGAGGACATTCATTTTGATAATATTAATGCGGCAAAGCCACCCGAAGTGTGGCTTGTGCCACTTGGTCAGGTCACGAGAAATAGTCTGTAGCAGTGGCGGGAAGTTTAGATCGTATAAATCTGTGAGATGGGTTGGTAGGTGTACTCCCAGGTATTTGACATCCCTGGGCGCTCAGAGGAACGGGAAGGAATTTCCAAGGGTGGTTTTGGTGGTGTTGGCGAGGACTAGGGGGAGGATTTCGCTCTTCGTATAATTGACTTTGAAGTTGGAGACCCTATGGTAGGAGGTGATTTCCTGCAGGATTTGTGGCATAGAAGTCAGCGGTTGGACGGTGTGTATATCTGTGTTTGTATGTGCCAGTGTGTGTGTATCTCTGTGTCAGTGTGTATATGTATCACACACACACTGGCACACAGATACACACTGACACACACTGTTACACACACTCAGATACACACTGACACACACATCTTGACTAACAAATACACACACACACACACTCAGATACACACAGTGACATACACACACTTGCACCAACATATACACACTGACAGGATATACACACACAGGCACATACAAACACACTGATACATACTGGCACATACACACACACTGACACACACACACTTTGACAGACACACATACACTCTCACTGACAAACATACACTCTCATTGACAAACACACACTTTTTGACAGACACACATACTCTCACTGAAACACACACTCTTTGACAGACACACATACTCTTTTACAGACATACACTCTCACTGACAAGCACACATTCACTCTCACTGACAAACACACAAACACATACAAACTCCCTAACAGACACACATACAATTTTTTAAATTTTTTTTACTCCACACAGCCCCCCTACCTTTAGGAGTGCTGGCATGGAGTCCCTGGGGTCCAGTGGGGCTGCTGGCATGAAGTCCCTGTGGTCCAGTGGGGCTTGCTGCAGCTTGGCAGAGGGCGGTCGGGAGGTCTGGCAGACAGGTGAGCGGTGGAGGTGGGTGGCGAGGGAGTTGTAATCTCCCTGCTCAGCTCCCTCGCGCGCCTCTTTAGGATGTGATGTCATATTTGTCCAATGGGTATGCCTTCCCTCTGCCTATACCACCTCCAGGCCGGTTTGGAATCTTGGGATTAATGCAGAAGTTATAAATCTAATGATGTGCAAATAACTAGTGTGCTTACTGGTGGCCGGGATCTCATTTTGAGTAAGTCACCATCTTTCCTTGCCACAGCCCCTGTGTGGTTGGTGTCAAGGGGAGTTTAAAAAAAATAAAATAATACTTTTCAGTATAGTGCAGACAAATAGTGAATTTTAACCCTTACAGTGCTAGAATGCTTGGAGAAGTGTAAAATTACACAACGATAAGGCAAAAAAGTGATCCCAGGCTGGAGTGCCCAAGGAACACAGAAAAGGAGTTCTCTGGGTGTTGCAAGTAAGAATTAGATAAAAACACTTTTATTGTAGGACATGAATTCCCAAGAAAAAATAATAAAGTAAAGTCAAAATAATAAGAGACCTAAAAAATCCCAACACATCTAGAAAATAGCCAGGAGAACTATAGATTCTAATAGTTTTGTGAGGATGAGGGTAGACAGGTATTGAGAGGTGCTGAGAAGTAGACAATTATGCAGTATACTGAGCAGTGTGCTTCCGTTCTTAATTACTACATATCTCCAGCACTAGAAAGATGGATGAGTGGCATACTCTGTCCAAATAGAGTCTGTAGATGGCGAATAAGGAACTTGCAATACACTTAAATTCTGGAATATAAACTTCAGATCAATGACTGAATTTAAAAACGGTGTATGAATCTCTCGAACTCTCGAACTTATAAACCAGCCACTAGTAATATTTATAGTACTTAAAGAATGAACTGAAAAGCTACACACATAAGCTCATAAGGACTGTCTAGTAGTGATGTCCCGAACGGTTCAGCGAACGGTTCGCCGCGGACTCCAGTCAGCAGACACATTCCAGCCAATCAGCAGCAGACCCTCCCTCCCAGACCCTTCCACCTCCTGGACAGCTTACTAAGAATGCAGCTTCAAAATGGATGCTGTCCAGGTGGCGGGAGGGTCTGGGAGGGAGGGTCTGCTGCTGATTGGCTGGAATGTGTCTGCTGACTGGAGTCCGTGGTGAAACGTTCGCGAACCATTCGACGAACCGTTCGGGACATCACTACTGTCTAGTAATAAGTACTTTCTATCAGCTACCTTGCTCAAACATAACCTGAAAAAACCCTATACGTCCCTAACTGAGAACAGCCATAGCTAAAAAGCTATGATTAATCTCCTAGTATATCCTCCATACCCTGTGTACACTACAAACTGTGGCTTGATATTAAAATAAATAAAGCATAAGTTCTAACGCATGTTTCGGTGCTACTAAAGCACCTTTGTCAAAGGTGTTAAATTATGATCTCGTTTAAAAATTTTTAAAAAAAATCAGCATAACTGCTAACAACTGTATTGATTAGGAGAAGAAACTATTCAGGGGCAGATCTGAAAAGAGACTTGCGTCCATCAAGTTCAGCCTTCCTCATATATGTTTTTGCTTTTGATCCAAAAAAGGCAAAAAACCCAGTCTGAAGCTCTTCCAATTTTGCAACAAACTAGGAAACAATTCCTTCTTGACCCCAAAATAGCAGTCAGATGTTTCCTTGGATGTTTCCTTGGATCAAGCAGCTATTACCCCACTAATTAGAAATTATATCCCTGTATGTTATGTTTTTGCAAGTATTTATCCAATTGCAGTTTAAACATCTGTATGGACTCTGACAAAATCACCTCTTCAGGCAGAGAATTCCATATCCTTATTGCTCTTACTTTAAAAAAAAATCTTTTCTTTGCCTTAGATGAAATCTCCTTTCTTCCAGCCTAAATGTGTGACCTTTAGTCCTATGTATAGCCCTGTTTATGAATAGATTTCCAGATAAAGGTTTGTACTGGCCCCAAATATATTTGTATAATGTTATCATATCCCCTCTCAGGCACCATTTTTCCAAACTAAAGAGATTACATTTTTTTAACCTTTCTTCGTAACTAAAATGTTCCATTCCTTTTATCAATTTTGTAGCTCGTCTCTGCACTTTTTCTAGTGCCATGATATCTTTCTTTAGAACAGGTGCCCAAAATTGCACAGCATATTCAAGGTGTGGTCTTACCAGCGACTTATAAAGAGGCAAAATTATATTTTCATCCTGAGAATTTATGCCCCTATTTATACATGACAAAACCTTACTGGCCTTAGCAACTGCAGATTGACATTGCATATTGCTGCCTAATTTGTTGTCTATAACAATTACCAAATCCTTCTCATGTGTGGTTATCCCTATTTCACTATCATTTAGGGTGTAAATTGCTTGTGCATTCTTAACCCCGAAGTGCATAACTTTGCATTTCTCTACATTAAATTTCATCTGCCATTTTAGTGCCCAGTCCCCCAATCTATCCAAATCCTTCTGCAGCAAAGCAATATCCTGCTCACAGCCACCAGGCCATACAGACTGGAAGAGGAGAGTGCTGGTACTTCATGTTATGTTATATCAAATTCTCCTACCTCTCACCAGCAACAGAGTAAGAGTCC